GACTGAAATGGATTATCTTCTGAGTGTGATTTTAGCAACATACGAATAGTATCTTTCGCCCATAAAGAAGACTGACAAGAGAGTGCCTATTGCTCTGTGAAACTTGCTTCAGGATAAAAGCTGTTGTTTCTTGGAGGCAGGATCTCTGCTGGCTCTGCATGGCTGTGCCACCTCCTTCCTGCGGTCCTGACCTGTCACCCTCAGGCTGAACTTTGCATATGAAAGGTTTTGGACTTGACTGGATGTGCTGCTCAAGATTCCAGCTTAGTCCCTCCGTACACGAGGACTAATTCCTGTTAGCAGAAAACAAAACATGTTTTCTTGTTCCTGTTTTAGCTGCACCATACGGGAGCTGCTAATGTAGCTTAGTTTATCCTTACTGGTGCCTGATCCCATCCTCTTTATTCAGGAGCCCTGTTCAGGGAGGGCCAGGTCTTCACAGGCTATCCCTACCTCCCTCACCAGCATGCCCAGGAGCAGCTCTTCTGCCAGAGCAAGGCTTCAAGGTTCCATGCTGGGGAGGTTTGGTGTTATGAGCAGCCTATAATGCTATCTTTACAAGAATGCATCAGCTTCAGATGCTATCTTTCTCTCATGGAAATCTTTAAGTTTGATTCAGTTTTATGCTACAAGCCATGTGCTATATAGCTCATAGTGCTATAGTATAGGAGTCCATGCAAAGGGGTATTTACCAGAAACTCTTAATGACATCTGTGCCTCAGGATCACTCATACTTAAAGCAAAACAAAACAAGGAGAAAAAAGAAATGGGGGAGGGAGAAGAATGGAGCCAAGTGTGTGGGGCTGCTCTGCTCAAACAGCACATGCACAATGATTTATGAAATGCAATCCTATTCTCAACAATCACCACAGGCTACTGACACATGGCAGCTGATGGAGGTAAGGTAATTAGAAAACCCCAGCTTCTCTTGTTACTCACTGGGAGCTAAAATGCAGGTTTTATCGCAAACACCGAGTAGTTTTGATGAAGACCATATTCACGTTCAACACTGAACCTCCTGGTGACCACAACAGAGGTTGCCAGTTGAGGGGAAATAGTTGAACCTGCCCAGGTCCCTTCTCAAGGTGGGCACCCACCCCACTCACCCCTCACCTTGCCCGCAACCTTGCTTGCCACTATCCCAGTGGGAAGAAGGCAACGGCCCAGGCAGTATCACAAGGAGTACAGCTCCAGTGCTTTAGTGGTTATCTCTGAGTTGTTTTCACATCCTCCTTAGCCTAAGTTGGTTCTCAGTGGAACAAGGATCTTAGCTGGGAGGAACCTATTCACAGAGGAAAAACAACTCTGGGGTCTCAAGAAGTCAAAACCCACGCAGCCTAAAGGGTACCCAAGTACTGCTAGTGTCTTTATTTTTTCACTTTACCTAAATGCTCACAGTGAATTTTCTTCTGGTTAAACTGCAGTTCCTTAAAAGCAGTTTCTTTATAATGGAAAGGCTGACTCAACCTTCACTCTAATAACCAGGAAAACACAACTGTAAAATGAAACAACAAATCATTGCTCTGACAGTAATGAGGCGCTCACTTAGACATTTATCTGTCCTTTTACAGGGCAGTAATTTTATGGTTGAAAAGACCTGGTTTCAAACTTCATGTGCGGGAAGAAATTGCCAAGCCCTGGCCAAAATTGCCTTATTTAGCAGATGGTAACATTGTACATAATTAATGCATTCATTTTCTTTCTTAAAAAATAGTAAATGCAGCTTATTTGAATTTCCTCCTGAAAACTAAATTTATTACCTACAAAACACAGAGACTGTGCCAACAGTTTCAAGGAGATTATATCCTATATTCCCCCCATTTTCTAACTGTTTTCCACCAATATCATCACCTGGGTGGCTCTTCACCTCTCTATAGGAAACTTCAGAGCTAGTGACAGGTTTCTCCTGTCCCTTTTATTCCTCCATGTTTTCATGGTAAAGGTTTATTTCCTTCACTTCCATTTAAAATGCAGAAAGACTGCCACTTGTTTGCTGAAAATGACTTTAAATTCATCAGTTCTCCCAAACCTAATAAAGTGGCATGTTTACAATGTTAAAGGAAATCAGGTGTTTTAATGTTAAATGAAAAAAATCCATATTTATGTAGTGTTATAATAATACCATTTGCCTGGCCTTTCTCAGTCTATTCATCACACAGAAATCTCCCCACAAGTTGCTGTGGAGCCTGCGTGCTGGAATGCCATGCAATAATAAGCCCAAATTCACCATAAATAATGTATTGCAGCAGCCTCCCCCCTTGCTGATGGCAGCCACAGCAGTGGGGCACACGTGGGGAAAGAGTCAGTCCTCAGGCACATGGCAATGAGGAAAGAGCAAAGGAAACCAGGTGGGTACCACTGCTACAGCCCCCTTGTGCTGCTCACGCAAATCCCATTCGTGCTACTGGTTCCAACACACAAGTGCTGCTGGTCCCTTTCATGCTGATGGTCCTACTGCAGAGAGCTGGAAGCAGAGAGCCTGGACTCTCGCAGGGCTCCTAGGTCACAGCTGGTGATGCCTCTTCATTTTGAAGGCCATTCTCGAGTGCTGCCATGGAAGCAGGGGCACTGTGCACAAGTGGACTGTAACATATTTTTTGGCATTCAGCCATGCTGTTCCCAGCTCCATGTGCACTGCCAGCCATTTTGTTGCCTAAGTCCATGGTGCTAAACAGTATTGCCTCAAGTGAAAAGTTCCCCGCTGCTTGAAATCCTCCCTTTAAAGGGTAGAAACCTGGCCCATCCTGGGCAGTGATGCAGGTGACGGAACCTCTAGTTTTATGAGAAGAAAGATTTTTAATCTCCTTTGTAAATTCAGTGGTTAGGTGTGCACCTCTCAGCAAAAAATTAGGAGGATTCAGTCATTTCCATTAAAGTGGGTAACAGCAGAGTCCCTTTGGCAAGTAATATTTGCCAGGCTATGTTTTATATATGTAGTTTCCCTAGCCAGGTCCTACCTCACTGCAGCTGGGCTGAACACACTGTGCTCTGGATGTAGCTCTGCAAAAGAAATACCTTGTTTACCTCTTACATGTCACTTGTTCCCACAGTCTGAAATACACCATCACCCATCACCCTATTCACAGAGGTCTGCTCAGAGGTGTTAATGGCATGGGCAAGTTTAGCCTTCGCTGGCACATTTACTTACTTTTGGGTCCCAGCATGGTTATTCTCACAAATCCTGGAGAATCGTCAGAATAGGCAGGTATAATCCTAATGTCTGGATTTTAAGAAACAAAAATCTTCCTTTCCTTTCCTTTCCTTTCCTTTCCTTTCCTTTCCTTTCCTTTCCTTTCCTTTCCTTTCCTTTCCTTTCCTTTCCTTTCCTTTCCTTTCCTTTCCTTTCCTTTCCTTTCCTTTCCTTTCCTTTCCTTTCCTTTCCTTTCCTTTCCTTTCCTTTCCTTTCCTTTCCTTTCCTTTCCTTTCCTTTCCTTTCCTTTCCTTTCCTTTCCTTTCCTATTAAATTACCCTAAAAAAATAAATCCTTTAGTTTGCCCAACAAGCTGAAGCCCTTCATGGGACTCCCCACCAAGAGATGTGGTGCTCTACTGCTAAGCAAGCCTAGGGAGAGAGCTTTCAGAGAGGCACAGCTTGCTTCTTCTTTCCTGCTGAGTGGAAGGGCACTGTTATTTTGTTCTAACACATAGGTAACTGAGGCACTAAGTGATGATTTATGGTGGCACAGCATGGCAGGGTATGAATCACAAGTCGCAGACTAACGTCAACTCTCTGCCCTTACCTGTTGCAAAATCCAGTATCTATTCTTCTCTGGCCAAGGCCCCATGTGACTTGTTTATCCTTCCTGAACTTTTATATTCTGCGTTATGTTCAGAGATTGGCATAGGTCTATAATAAAAGCATTCTGATTTTAAGAGGAATTAATGAAAGAGATGCTGAATTTCTATCTAGTAGTTCAACTACTTTCATAGAGGTATGTAGAATATATATCTTTAATTGGTAGCCATCTCTTGTCCCCACTCCTGCTGAACCACCATCAGACTCTACTCTGTGGTTTTATGCTAGAGAACATCTGGAGAGCATGTGTTTCCTTGCTTCCTTCAGCTGGCTGTCGTTGCCAAATTTCAGTCTTCCTTGTAACTCCAGTGCTCAGCTTGAGTATCTTTACTTGCACCTGTAGATCTCAGAGCCAGCAGCTCCTGCACTCAGATATACAAAGCTACAGACACTTCACACACAGGCTTCTGGGGTTAATAAAGAAATCTTGTCTCTACTATGTAGACTCTACAATTGTGGTATCTGTGATGATACAGTAGCACCAAATGTGATAACACAGATCTCTGTGGTACTGCAATACACAGAACACCTTTCTGTGTACAGAAAAGAACCACTGGACCCTGCAACAACGTCTCCTTTTAAATGGCTTTAAGATGATGAGGCATGTAGAGAAGTGAATGACATTGTTTTGGCATATTTTTGAATTAAAAGAGGGGAAACCTTTTTATCTCTGGTAACCACTGATTGCAATATTGAGATGTATTACGAGAAACATTTTGTCATGATAAATCATCACATTGTACTCCGAGCCTTGTAACTTTTAAGTCTTTTGCCATTAAACTTTCTTGATTTTCACAGTAGTAAATTGGTAATCAGTCTTTCTGACACTTTTTTATATAGAGAGGCAATACTTCCAGAGCTTTTATCACTGTGGATTTCAGGATAACGTAATGAATAGAAGAAGCCAAACCCCTGTCTCACTGTTGGCATTTATTGGAACAGTCAGGAACAAAACAAATGTGTTGACATTTGCTTCGTTAAAAACAGCAAACTGAATAACAGAGCATGCAGACTCTGTAATGTGATCCTGGCTAATATGCTTCTTTCCTGTTTCCCCACCTTTGTACTTAATCCCGAGTTCCTCATTGGTTTTCAGTGTGTAGATTATTTCCCAATGCAGAGATTTTCTTATGATCCAGTTTACCTTTCACCTTTTCTTTTACCTTTTCTTTCTCCTTTTACATCAGCCTACTGCTAAGTAGCATTAATGTCTGGTTTGGAAAAGCCACATTTAATCATGTGTGTTTGGCTTCTTCAGTGTATTAAAGCTGACCAAAGAAAAGAAGACAGCTTTGTTTTCTACAGATGTTAAGCAGAAGGTTAGCTCACCATCAGCAGTTCCAAACCTGTAGCTGTGGGAATGGCTGTTCTCCACCTGCCTACTTGCAGCTATTTCTTCAGATAAATTGACATGATCTGCAAAAGACTATTTCTGTTACTGCTACTAAAACCACAGAAATCATTACATCAATTGTCCATTGAAAAAAACATCTCTAATGAGGGACAAAGCCCAGCAATAAGTAAAAGGAAGCTTTGATAGCTAAAACCTAGGACCAGCAATACTGAGAGCTGCACTCCCTTGCCAGCTGCTTGCAGCGTGCTGTGTCTCAGATGTCCAAAGCTTGTCCCAGCTTGGGGGATTTTCTGCTTCAAGGCTCTCTGGATGCTTTCACAAGTGGAAGTCATTTCAGTTTTTCAAAGTTATTCAGGAGAACACAGGCAGATGCTATGTGTTACGAGACATACCAGATCTGATTAGACCAGCTATCCATCACATCTAGCCTGTTTCTGACAGGGACCAGCACCAGGTTATTTCAAAGAAAAAGGAAAAACTTTCAGGACAGATGAAGAGGCTGCTCCCCATGTTGATCAAGTTTATTCCAGTCTTTCTGCAGCTATTGGTTTAAGAAAGCAACTTGTATAACTACCCACAATGACGGGATTGATATTATTATTCATCATCTAAAACTGTAGTCTTTTCTGAAACTTATCATGCTTTTTCCCTCAAAACTGTATTTGGCAGTCAAAATTACAGGCCAGTTACAACTATTTTGAAAACACATCACTCTCTTCTGTATTTGTTCTCCCAATTTTATTTGGTATTGCCTGCACAGTATTATTGGGAAGGAAGAATTGTGGAATATAGAGAAAGCAAAATAACAATAATTACTGTCTACTTCTATCAAGTGGACAGGGCATGACAGAAAAGGGTAGTAGTACTTGGCAATGATACTGTATTTTTCCTGACCTCTTCTTCCTACTCCCACCTTTTATGAGGTTAATTATCTGTATACTCAGTAGTGCATAGCTGTGCATTCAGCAAAGATGCCTGAGATAGCTGAAACAATATTTGGGTATTTCACACTTTCTTGCCCCTTGCTGATGGAGTATCTCTGTTCATACAGTATTTTTACATTTTACAATTTATTTTGATGCTAATCCCTGATGTGCTTTCTAGTCTGTTTTGTAACTATCGTGCATTAAAAATTATCTTTCTCCTACTTAATTTTAGTCAAGCACTTGCATTAATCCATAATTACGGTTTTAAAAACAGCGCTAACCATTACTTTCTATTGGCATGTGTACTAGCTGCTTTCATTCAATAGAGAACAATGCATCCAGGGATTTAAACAGAATTCCAGCTGTGTGACAATGGCCCTTACATCTAAGTTAGAGGGGCACCAAGGAATAACATTTTCACAATGGTTGAGCAAGTTTGGGCATTGAGGGATTAAAATCCATTTGCCTCAGAATTAGTCCACCTATGGGACTAGTTGGACATCTCTCTAGGAGATTTTTTGGAGGCCATTTGAAGAGAAGATTAAGCTGCACGACCCATTTAATGAGAGGTAGTGAGTGTCTGAGAGTTACTTGAGAAAACTTCCTGAAATTGCTATCTCTGAAGCTGACGGGCATCCAATAAACTGAGAACACACATGTGTAACATTACTGAAGTGTCAGCTCCATAGCATGCTATCTCTAGTGAAGTTTTCTCAGAGTTGTGTAAGCAGTCTTGTGATTTGCTTGAGAGATGAGGGGAGACATGTGCACTGTAACATTTGGCCTTGGCCGGAAGACGATGACTTCAGTGATGGTAGACAATCCAATAAGTACATTTGTTGTTACAGTATGCCTTTCAGCCAGGCAAATGCTTCTGCTGTGAGCCAAATTTATGTCTCAGACAAATCGCATAATTTATCAGAAAAACAGACCAGACCTATTGTTGCCTACAAAAGCAACAGAAAGAGCCTTCGGAGATGACAGGAATGTGGTCCAAAGAGTTTGCACTGCAGCGTGTGGGGCTTTTCCAGCTCTCAATGTGTAAGAACAGGCGGAGATAAATGGGCAGATTGGGATCTCTGTAACTTTATCACCCTGTGCTTAACAAGGCAATGAGTTGGCCACAGAGGCATTCCCAGGAGACATTCCATAAGATCTCTGGAGCCAGAACTTGATTTTCAAAGAAGCTAGGAGAAAAGCACAGTATTTTCACTGAATGAGTTTCCTTTCTGCTGAGGTCATAGCATACTGAGAGTGGGTAATTCAGCTATCTGCAAAACCTTTCTGCATTCTCCCAGGCTTAAAAAAAACCCACCAGTATTCCCATGCTCTTCTTCCTAGAGAGGCTTTGTGCAAAACAAATTGCCAGCAACCTAAAGAAAGCTGTGGCCCTGTTCTCTTTTAGATGCCTGTTTGAGGTCACAAATTTTCTGTGTATTGATTCATTCTAGGAGTAGTAAGTGAAATGGAGCTGGTGGGCCAATCTCATAGGTATCTGATACCCGAAAATTCCTTGGACCTCAGCCATTTAAATAGTAGACTTAGTCATAGCATTATTCACAGTAGTTGACGGTCTCTAAAAGGCTTTGCCAGTGCCATTACATCTTTCAGCATACCTCAATTCAATTGATTGAGTGCATCTGTTGGGCTGAAGAGAGATGGGAGGCTAGATGCATTAATTTGTTTCCTGAAAAATAGGGTACTACTGAATGCCTCTCTTAAAATTTCTATCTATAGAGACTTCTTTAAGTCTTTTCTGCTACTCAGTATTTTGGTAAAACTGGTGGAATTAACAGCAAACAAATGTGGACTACAGTGTTGCTATGGCAATCCTTACAGGGTTCCTTTAAAAAATTCCTAGCTGTTGCCATGTTTTTCCATTGCCCATTTCATTTTGGGACCATACTGAAACTTACTGGTAATAGCACAAATATAAACGTTATGAAACATAGGATAGAATTTGCAGGATACAACAAACTTTTCAACAGCTACCTCAATGGAAGACATCCATACACATTTTGGACGAATGTTTTACGGGTCCCTGGATCCTTTGGCCTCACCACTATTCAGTGCCTCACAGAAACAGGTTGACACAAATGGTGAGCAGAACGAATCTTAATAACATGATGCTCTGGCAGAGGATTTTGTGAAATGCTTCATCACCTCAGACACCAAAAAAACATTAATGCTAGCACTGACTGATGTACTCATTCACTGTCTGGCCAGACTAGTAGTCTCAGGCAGACACATGTTGTTAATGTTTGTCAGAAAATGCCAGTTGTCTTTCTCATAGGTGATGTGGACTATCTGTGGAAGAGTCTTGAAAAGCCTGAGGGGGGAGAAAAGGGACTGATAAAAAAGACAAATCCAGAGATGATTTTCCTACTTTTGAAAATAATTCCAGGAAGCAAGGAAAGACCTTTGCAGAAACCATTTTTTGTGTTCGTTTTGTTAAATAAAAGAGAAACTAAAGCGTCTCAAGGACCCTCCCACCTCTATCTTGGGAGTTCTTGAGACTGGGTCAGTGCAGGGAAAGAGATGTGACATGGGACTGACTAAGGGAGGAGAGAAAAAGAAGTTGGGAAAATTGGCCCCTCCACACTGCTGAATAGATCCAGGTGCACAATGAGCTCTGGAGGTGACAGGAGCTGGGGCAGGGCTGGAGGCTGCTGGTATGGATCAGGGCTTGAAATCTGTAAAGCGGTTATTGCAGCAGTACACAGGGTATGAGCTGCTCCTGAACTGCTGTGCTACTGGAAAGCAGTTTTCTCCTCTAGCCATAGGCTGGTGTTGAGAAGGAGAATGCAACCTCCCTTTCTGCCTCACATTGAACCCTCCCAGAAAAAAATCAGATATTTCTCCTATCACTCAGCACTCTAGTAGCTATCACTCTGGTAGCAGATAAACCATTACAGGTGAACAGCTGTGTGATGCTTTGTACCTAGAACAGTGAAGCCCTGGAATATTTACAGAACACTATTTGTACACATTTCCTCTTTTTTTTCATATAGGCTGATTGCAAGTAGATTTTCCTGTGATTGCGGAAACTGTGATTCTCAATACCTTAGCTATGGGAAGGTTTGGATGGGGATGTGAAACTTCTGCTGCTCAAGCATGTATCTGGTTGTATACAGTACATACAATTGGTTGTATTTTGCCTGCTGCAAAACACAGGAGGTACTGCTTGTGTACCCACCTGCCTTGCACTAACTTCTCATTTCTCTGTACCCTGTGCAGCAGCAATTGCTGTCTTCAGCTCATCAGCTGAATAGAGTTTAGAAACCTGTCTGCATTGGTTCAGTGGTCTATACCTCAGGGAGACCAGTGTCATCAACACAGAGCTCAGAAGCAGTCGTTTTAGCCTGTTTTAGTGCCTGCTTAAGTCCTGACCCAGCTGGCTTGTAAGTGTAAGGAGCAGGGAGCAGAGGGTGCCTGTGCTCAAGCAACCAGCCCTCACCCCTATCTCACAGGCAGTGACAGCAGGGTGGGCAGGTAGCCTAAGGGATGCTGCTGCTCCCAAGCCTCCAGCCACAGAGTTTCTCCTCCAGTGCCAGACTATCAAGCACGGGTGGTACAAACGCACAGCTGAGCATGATCAAAACAAATGCTTGCTGTGGCTTTGGTTGTGCTCAAGGCCTTCTTGCTCTGGCTGCTGTTTGCGGGGCAGCCGTTGGTGGGGAGACACTGCCACCTCCTGACACTGAGCTCCAGGCGGATGGAGGCTCTGTACCAAACCGATACTGCAGGGAGAGCAGCGGGAGGTGTCTGGGGCCCCAAGGCTGGTTCACGTTTTGGATGCAGAGGAGTTTTGGAGAGCTGGCTACAGGCAGCTTAACAGTGAGTGGTGGGAGGTCACGCTCCCGGCTGCCGAGGCGTCGCGATCTGATGTAGAAGTTAGTACAGTGAGCCAGAGATGATACAGGGAAACAAGCTCAAATTCAGCAGGTGGAACCGAGTGGGCTGTCACAGGCTGTAGGTAGCACCAGTAACAGCAGGGAGACAGGAATCAGTAAATTGCCTTTGCCTCTTCCTGCTCAAACCCTCTTAACCACACACCTGGACCACTTTTCTGAAGGAGGAAGGCATTTAAAGGAGGCAATCCTGTAATTTGCTCCTCCAAAACGACCCTAATATGTGCTAGAAATCAGCATAAATTCATGCACCTTTACATTTAGCTGTTAAGAATACCATTACCAGTCAAGGAAACCAAAACTTGGAAGGTAAAGATGTGAAAACTTTCTTCACCTGAAGTGTTGTCAGGCACTGGAACAGGCTGCCCAGGGAAGCGGTGGAGTCACCATCCCTGGAGGTATTAAAAAGAGGTGTAAATGTGGAACTTAGGGCCATGTTTTAGTGGTGGACTTGGCAGTGCTAGGTTAATGGTTCTACTCGATGATCTTAAGGGTCTTTTCTTACCTAAGCGATTCTCCGATTCTATGAAAGAACATTTGATTTGCCTTTGCGCGCAGCCTCTGTGCCTGTCGCTGCTACAACATATAGGGCCGTCTGCGGGACGCCGGTGGAAGTGCAGTTCGGTACTAAGCAGAAGGCCAGTAATTCCCGGCCAGAACACCAGGGGTCATTCCACTCTTTATCTCCACCTAAAAGCAGATTCTCAGCACAACAGCACTAGCAACACCTCTCCCTTTCTCCTCTTCCTTCCGACTGCCTACAATAAACCTGAACTGCAAATAAGGTTGTGTTTAGACAGGAAAGTGGTGGGAATTTCGTCTGAGTAAAGACAGGAGGATCTGTCCCGGTGGAAAGGCTTTTGAGTGGTTTACAGTATTTGCCTGTAATTGTACACATTCCTTGAACAAATCACATCCACTCATTTATTATCCATGCTAAACAACGCAGTAGGTCTCATACGCAGGTGTGTCATTCACCCTGCTCCAGACTAGAGACATCCACAATGGAATGTAATTTTTCCACCCAGAGATTAGTTATGTTAATGCAACGTCAGAGGTGACCAGTTTGGGGAGATGGGGAGAGAAAGGGATATGGGAGGAAAAATAAGCTGAACAAAATGTTCACACAAACTTGGAATAAAATTACCAGGAACAGGTGTTTGCTTTCTCCCCAACATGTACAAAACAGTGATGGATTTTTAAAATTTTTTTTTAAATAATAATTCTTATTGTAGATGTAAGTAATTCTCTAGCTGGTGATGGTTTGATCTAGAAGGCATGGAAATCAATGGGAACATTCCCTGGGCTTTGAATCATGCCACATGTGTCAGCTGGTTTTATTTGTCACAGGAGTAGTAATGAGGAATAGATTGAGGCTCAAATACCTAGGGCTTTGCTTCTTGTTAAAGGAGATTACACATCTAATAAATGTGCACCTCCTGTCAACTACCACAAGTGTTTTCCACATCAAGTGCAAGGTGTTTGAGGCCCAGAATCCCAAAGAAACGGAGGTGCAAGTTTAGGAGAAGGAAAAAGCTGCACACACACATTGTGTGCTCCTTTTCTATGGCTGCGAATATCATCTCATATATGAGCAATGCAGTACACAGGACTGATGTGCTCTGGGCAAAGAACTGAGTGCTAAAGCCCAACCATTCCCACCAGAAAGTTAACCCCTTCCTTCCTGATCTTCCTCTGTACTTCACCAGGAAAGTGTAGGTCACTCTTCTTGTGCATCTCTTATTTTATCCCCAAGGGCAAATGGCTGGAAAGAGAGAGAGATCCTCAGTTCCCAATGTATACCAACACATGAGTTTTGCTATTCTCACAGCCCTAACATTTATTTGTTATAACAGGCTCTGGTGCCTCAGTCCATGTCTGTCCAGCACTTACACAGATAATGTAGCCTGAAGCCTTTAATGGATGCCTAAGATTACACCATGTCGGCACTCACTCCCTGGCTTGTCTGAAAGTTTTTCATCATCTTGGCCAAAAGTTTCTATTCTCTTCAGCCCCCAGAAACATCAGGCAACCCCTGAGCAATTGATTGCAGTTTATAGTTTCTCCACATGGACGTCACTTCCAAAATATTCATTAGAAAAATTAGTCATTTACAATAAATGTTATGTTTTTACAAGAAAATGCAGCTATTATTTATTAACCATCTGGATTTTTTCAGTACCACTTCATAACGGAGATGAGCCTGAACACCTGATCTAAACCCTCTTCTGACTTTTGGAGAATTTCAGATCCAAGTTCTTGAGGGCTGGGATTGTCTTCATTTCGAGTCTTCTACAGCTCTGAGCACATTGTTGGCGTTTAAGAAATAAACAATAGTAATCCAAATCTGGACCAGAAATTAATGGGTAGAGTGTATTTGTACTTTATAAAAAATGTATACATCTTTCACCTTACCTATGTTACATCAAATGTAATGCCTTCTTTCTATTGTAACCATAAATGTTTGCAATGAGAAAATACAACCTCTAGCCCATAGCTCACAGCTTTCCAGGGAAAAGCACCATCTATCATGGTAGTGCCAGCCATTATCCAGAGGTATGAACTGGGGTGATGAAGTGGCTTTCAGACAAGCGCTGCAGGGCAATGACAACTTGAACTATGGCAGCACCTACTGCAAAGCCCACTGGTGCTGGGGCCCAGCTTTTGGCTAGGTGCATCTAGCAGGGAAGGAGCAAGCTGCATATGGTGGCACAAGGGAAATACGAACTAATGGCTGTCTCACCACAGAAACTGAAACAATTGTCTTCAATTCCCAGCTCTCAGAAAGGACAGAGAAGGTGGCTTACCCAGGCTGGATTTACAGGGATATAACTTCGCATCAGCACTGTCAAGATAATGAGCACTTCATATAAAGAAAAGGATCTTAGGAGCTTCCTCTGACAAATTTATCACCTGCCAAATGTAGATGATGTTTCTACGAACATCACTGCTGCTTTACATGCAGTGGACCTGGGGTTTAGGCTGTTGTCTGGAAATGTTCAGATTTGTAAACTACAAGAAGAATGATTGGAAAACACCTCACATTGTCCTCCCTCAGGAAAGACAACTGCCCATATTTAATGACAGTCCTGAATGCAGTAGTACAGTAGCATTTATTGTAATCTGTATTGCTTTGGTCCAAAAGTATACTATATTTTCCTTAGCATCTGCTTTTGGATATTTGGCCTTCTATGTACTTCACAGTGGAAATGAAGAAACGGTGAAAACTTCTGGCAGTCTGCAGAGAACAGAAGGAGAACATAGATGGAAAAGTGCTCCAGCAGAGGTGGAGTAATGGCAACTGATATACAAGGGGAAGTCACAGGAAACAATGCAATCTAACTTGTTCCAGCTGCCTGAGCAATCACAGGGACAGTGCCAGATGTAACATAGCTCTGGTTAGCATGAGCTGAAATATGGGATAGCCTCCAAAAAAAAAAGGACAGAGAGAAGTAGCAGCTTGTTTGTGAACAAAAGACCTAAACTACTTGGTTGCTAAAATACACTCAAAGGAGGTATCCCTCTCTTTGCCCCATGTGCAAATTGCATCTAATCTGGGGGAAAGACAAACGAAAAAAAAAAAAGAAGTAATCCAGTTTGTAGTTGTGCTGATTTCATATGATAAACATTGGAGGCTGTCCTAAATGGGGAGGAGAGCTTGGGGAGTGTTATTTCGGTTGTGCAGCAATTGCGTCCAACGTTTTAACAAACTACTGCTGCTCTGCTTGAGAAACTGCATTTTTAAAATGTGAATCAACCAGGATGATTCATAAGAAGAGTGCATCTGAGATCCCCTCTGTTAGGTGTAGGGTACGTTGGTGGTCATTTCATCCCCCGATTACGCTGCAGGATGGAGAGCCTAAGTTACCTTGGGGCTTGTTACCTAAGGTACAAATGGCCAAGGACTATGGTTACTAAGCCCAGCCTATGTGGCCAAGAAGGAAAACAAATATTCTTATTCTGAACTCCCTTCTACTGGGAGTTCTATCTCAAATCACTTTATACTATGTTCAGTCATACCTCTGACTGCTGAGTTTACGTTTCCCCCAGGCCATTTAGACAATGAAGAAAACTCAGAAGGACCACATAGATCTAATTGCCTCATCTGTCCCATCGCCTGCTTACATTCCCCAACTTGAAAGAGTACAGGCAGAGTACAAAGTGGACAGGTGAAGCATACATGTGAGTGTTTCTCCAGAAATGTTTTGCAGAAGAGCCCTGCAGTAAGGAAGGATCATTCTGCCTTGGTTTCCACAGCACATTAAGACATACCTTCAATATATCTTTCTTGCTTTTTTGTTTGTTTGTTTTACTGTTTTCCCCATGAGGGCAGGATCCAGCTGTCAAATTTGCTTGAAGTAGCAAGTCAATCTGTATAATGTGGTTCGAATGAAAGGTTGTTGGTTTGGCTCCATTGTAATTCAAAGCAATTCGGCAGTGCTTGCCATTATTGGTCTGTAATAAATGAGAAAGTAGGAGGAGATAGGAAGCGTTATTGTCCCCATTTTACAGGAAGAAAGGAAGACATGGGAAACTCAGAAAATTTACTTACTCCAGGGTCTTGGTCCAGCTCCATTCTTTTCTCTGAGACAGAAGTCAGAGCTCCGAGGAGGGTGTCAGGTGCTGCATTATCATGTGCCTGCCACTCATCACTGTTCTCAGCTAGGAAAACAGGGCAGGACCAGATTGCTCAGCTTTGCAAGACAGTGAAAAAAAAAACCAAAAAGCAGAGTTAATCCTTCAATGTAACAACAGAGCAGGCTTCCGCAGGAAAATCTCTACTCTGTTCTCAGTTTCTGAGCATTGCTGTGGTTGTCCTTCCTGCAAATATGATCAATTATCATATACTTGTTAACATTTATAGATGCTGCCACATAATGTAGATATGGCTGTTACTTCCCCCACAGACACAGTCTATTTGAAGGATAAAAGCTGTTGCTTTCTTACAATCAAAATGCCATCAGTCTTACAAGTATCAGATCTGAGTTGAGTTTTTGTCACAGAAACGCTTTACATTTATCACCTGGCATGTGCCACCTCTGTGCCCTTTTTCAAAGGGACGCCACTTCTGTGGAAATATTAATAAATGACGAATTGCATTTGTGTAATCTTGTGAGATGTTTTGACTACCATAGTTGTTCCATAGCAGTTCATTAAAGGACACATAAAGTATTTAAGTTTACATTTTATAAAAAGATCAGGAATGCCCTGGCTGATAGCTTTCTTTCTATTGAGCATCTGTTTTCTATTTTTTTAATGACTTATAGCAGTGGTTGGCCAGTTCTGTACTAATAGTTGATGTTAACTGAATCAAAACATTGTAATTTTTTAACAAAGGTTAGAGAGTGTCCTTCTAACACAGCTTCCTATGGCTGCAACCAGCAATATCTGTGCATCAACATCTGGCTTCAAAATATTAAAAATTATAAACACTTCCAGATACAATCCATCTGGCCATCCAAAATTCTACATCTGCATAATTTTGCTTTCCTTTTAAAAACCAAACACAGACTTAGTTTGGGCCTGCTACATTACTGAAGAATCTTCCTTCTTCTAAGTGTGGGGCAAAGCCCATGGTCAAGTTTTGTTGGAAGCATCCATCTGTATCTGGCCAACTGTTGTGTCTAACATTGGACGTATTAGTAAGTGATAAGCAGAAATTCTTTGCTTGATTAGCATATGGTATCTTATTGAACCAGAAGGCAGACTGCAATGAAGAAATCGTGGTGAACTAAAGGAGCAGTGATGTTTGCAGCGCTGGCTGCGATCAAGTTTTTGAAAGCTGTTTTCTTGCTGCTCATCTGCATTGTGTCAGTCCCCTCAAAGACAGCACCCAGCCTGCAGGATTGTTGCCCAGTGCAAATGTGGTCATGGTTTGTGATGCGCCACTTTGCTCCAATGTCCCAGGCTTTCTTGAGCACCATACTCCTTGGCTCTAACACCCTACAGAGAGGTCTGCAACACTGCAAGGGTCAGAGCAGTGAAAGGGAGACCACCCCTCATCCTTTTGGCCAGAGATATTTCCTGTGGGATGGCTGCTGCTGCTGTGACTAAACAACACCGGACTACTTCCTCTGGCTTGTCTCCCCTTCCTTTTCATTTTCCATGCCAATTCAAAGAGATCTGTACTGTTGAGACCATGACTGCTTCACCCAGATGGAAAGATGATTTATATTTCATACACACAGAGAAACAACAAGTCATTCTTACTCAGATAACTTTATGCAGAATATGAAATGTCATTGGTTTTGTTGACTTTTAATTAATGATGCTACTTAGTGTTCAGTGTCATGTATATAAAGGAATACTGAAATTAATAACACATGGAAATTAATTGAAGTGTGGGAGGTAAGTATTCCAAGTTCAGTCAACGTCAGCAGTTCATCTTATCATTTTTTTGTGCCCCTCAAGGCTCTAATTTGCAATGAAACAGCATTTTTCCCTAGCTTTTAAAAAACTGAACAGGTTCCAGTAAGCTTTGACGACAGGACACTGAACAGACCTTTCACCCCTAGCTGGAGTGCTCCAGCTTAAAGCTGAAGAGGTAATCGAGACAGGAATTAACACTTATTTCACTCTTCCAAGATTTTACTGGCTCTAATAAGAGCATAACAGGAACAGAGAGCATTTTTCAGACTAGGAGAATGTCCCAGAGAAGTCACTGCAAGGATCCGTACTTTGACTTGGCCTTTGGTTCATAGATACCTAGGCACCCCATGATCTGTTGCATGATTTGCCAATCAGAAATACATCCAGGATCATGGC